AACTACTTCCTGAACATGAATAAGCACGAATAAGGCATCTAAGTAGGCACTATGGAATACTGAGGAGAAAAGACACACCCATACATCACTGTGATGTGAAGTAGAGGTAAGTACCATGAGACGGTGAGGAAAGAGAGCTATGGGCAATGCACACTGTTAATGGTTGAGGAATCCCTCCTCCCTGAGCAAGCAATCAGATCATCATCCTTAGCTCATCAACAGCTAATATTACAGTCCCTAACGTCCTTTCTTACCATCCCACTTCCTTCTTACCAATCCTAGTTCTGGTTCTGGTCCATTCACCAGCCTCATGGTAATCATGACCTGGTGCAGGGATGTGGGAGAAAAGGCACCAGGCAGACAAACAGACCGTACCAGACAGACAATTCATGAAGCCTTAAACACAGCTGCAGAATTAAAACAGAAATGTCAAGGGAACAGAGTGTTCCAGCTGACTTAACTTCCTGTTGATATTTCTCTGGGGAGGAGGGGTGAGGCCTGGAGTTCTAGTACTGGGGTAGAGGGAGGGCAGGGGGTCTGGTGCCGGTGGGAGCAAGACTTAAGTCTTTTCAGGCATGGGTACCCAGGAGTTGGGTTCCCATCTGCAAGGCTGTTGACATTCACTTCCTGAGGCTGGCCATGGTCAGAGGAGTGTCTCAGCTACTGATGTGCCCAACCTACAGAAAAACAGGATGTTAGGTTTCAGATCTGATTGAGCCATGAGATGCAAATTCCTTTTCCACCCCACCCCCACCTCTCTCCCCTACGGCTGCCACCCACACCATTCCCCCTTCCGCAGCAAAGCATTCGTCTCCCAATGTGACTTCCATCAGGGGCTGTCTGCACCCTTTGCTTCATTGCCAGCCTGGCTGTGTGGGGTCAGATTAGTGCTTAACCCATTTCATTATGGTTTCAGATTTATGGTCATTTTGATTAGGAGTTCTTTACCGCACCCCTGGGTGACTGATGAGAACTCTCATCAAATTAGAAAAGGAGAATGGTTAAGCCACTTTGCTCTCTGCAAGTCACCTATCTGGTAGGGTCTTTGAGTCCCCAGGCCTCACCTTGGCCCCTCTGCCTACAGGTTATCTACAGGTAAGTGGTTGTCAAATCTTTCTTTCCCTTGATCACTCTCATCCCATCTCTTTCTCTTTGTGGCCACCTAAAAGCCCTTTTGGCTGGGCCTGGTGGCTCATGCCTATAATTCCAGCACTTTGGGAGGCTGAGGCGGGCGGATCACGAGGTCAAGAGCTAGAGACCACGTTGGCTAACATGGTGAAACCCTGTCTCTACTAAAAATACAAAAATTAGCTGGGCGTGGTGGCGGGTGCCTGTAGTCCCAGCTACTCAGGAGGCTGAGGCAGGAGAACCCGGGAGGCAGAGATTGCAGTGAGCTGAAATTGCACCACTGCACGCCAGCCTGGTGACAGAGCGGTACAAACAAACAAACAAACGAAAAAATCCCTTCCATGTGTGATGAAGGAAACAGCCACTCTGCTCAAATTCAATAATCTTCCAAGTGCAGATATCACCCATTTTCACAGAGGCAAACACCAAGCACGAACTCTCCCAGACCAACGTGCTGAGTGCAGGAGGATCTCCATAAGGAGCTGAAAGGGATTCCAAACTTAGTGCCCACTCAAAGGGCTGATGTGCACCCTGTTGGAGCAGGCCCTGCAAACCTGAGGTCTGAAGCTGGCTCTGGCAACCGCTCATGTGCTCTTCCACCCTCCTCAGGCTTCCGCGGCTCTTTGCTCACTGGATCCTTCCACACAAATCTCCTCCAGCAGCCCCTGCACCGAGCACATCTAAGTCAACATCTTCTTCCTCTTGCCCCCAAGGCCTTCCTTGATGCCCATCCTTGTCCCTCAAGCCTCCCTCAGTACCTAGCAACATCCAATCTGACACTGCTTCAGCACATTTCGTATTTAGTTTGTATTCTGATTGAAAGATTCAAGGATCTATTATTGTCTTTTCAGATAAATGACACTCATAAGATCTGCTTGCCTCATGGACTCTAGAGTGGTATTGGGTACACCAAGATGAGAAAAGTCTTTAGATGTCTCAAAGATGATCACACAGCAGGAAGCAGGCAGTGTAATTATAACTTACTCCCAAACTGTAAAAACATGGACGAGACGTCAGAACCAGGATTTGTGACTTTAGATAAGGAGATGACTAGTTGATGTGCAGTAACTAGGAGGGAAGGTCAGATCTTTAACTGTGCTATGGCAATATTCTATATTACAACCCCCTTATGTTGTTACTGCATTTTTAAGTGGCCATGTGAGAAGTGGATTACAAAGTGAATTATCTACCTTTTTGCATGGGGCTGGTGTGCACTCATTCATCCAACATGTATTGATTGACCAAATTTGAAGGTGGCACTGATCATAAAAGTTTGATCAAGACAGGATGGAATGTGCCTTTATTAAGCTTAAAGTTTCATAAGAATATAAAGAAAGTAGATGGGGCTGGGCGCAGTGGCTCACGCCTGTAGTCCCAGCACTTTGGGAGGCTGAGGTGGATGAACCACTTGAGGTCAGGAGTCCGAGACCAGCCTGGCCAACATGGTGAAACCCCATCTCTACTAAAAATACAAAAGTTAGCCAGGTGTGGTGGTGGGCAGCTGTAATCCCAGCTACTCGGGAGGCAAAGGCAGGAGAATGGCCTGAACCTGGCAGGTGGAAGTTGCAGTGAGCTGAGATCATACCACTGCTCTCTAGCCTGAGCAACAGAGCAAGACTCTGTCTCAAAAAAAAAGGAAGTAAATGGGCAATTATATAATAATTCTTTCAATAGCAGTAATAGTACAGACGTTGAAAGGCACATAGGAAATATCTCTCTCTCAGGTGATAGGAGAGTGGGGAAAGGGATGGTGGTGGTCAGGACCATCTTCCCAGAGAAGGCCTAAACGAAGAACTGAAAAATGAATAAGAGTTTGCTTTGTGCAAATCAGGAACTGTATTCCAGGCAGAGGGAAGAGCCTACTAAGGGACCTGAAAGCAGCTCAGGGTGCCTGGTGTCTGGAGTACTGGGTGTTTTCTGTTGAGAAGAGACCAGACAGATCTAAGTGTAACCATGTCAAGAAGGGGTGTGAGTGAGCTATCTAAGAAGTTGGACTTTATCCTGAGGGCTCCTGGGAACCAGTTACATGTTCTAGAAAGATTACTCCCTGTGGCGTGGAAAATAGATTGAGTGGGGGGATTATGAGTCAAGGCTGGAGGTAAAGAGAACAACTAGCACATGCAGAGATTAACCAGGACACTGTTTTCACAATCCCGACATAAGAGGGCAGTGACAGTGATGGAGGGAGGGGATGATGTCAGGGTATTTCAGAGCTAGAATTGCAGCACCTGATTGCTAAAGATGAAGGAGAAATCCTGAGCGACTCCCAGGTTTCTGTCATGAGCAAATGGATGGATACTGAGGCCACCGCAAGAGGGAAAGAGAAACTAACAGGCAGGGATGCAGGTTCTCAGTAGACTTTTGCAAATGAGTACTTTGCCAAAGTTGAAAACAAGAACACCAAGAACACTTTATGCAGAAAACTGTTGACATAAGTCTCTGCCTGTTATCCACGCGAAAAGACGAAGGGGGATGAATCGTAGGTGGGATTTGGATACTATTATTTCTTATAATCTGTTTCACTTTATTTGTATAGAATCATTGGAAATGTTTTAAGGCCAAGTGGGTGACTTCCAGTTCGGACAAGTTCCTGCCCACTTTAAGATACTGATTTGTGTATTAGTAAACACCTTTAGTGGCAAAATTGTACCATCACTTAACCTTACTAACAATATCCAAAAGAAATTACATCAAAAAAACCTTTATTTCAGTAAACATCACCTCATTTTCTAGAAGAAATTAGTTCTTTGTTGAGAATGAGAAAAAGGATTATCAATACCAATTGATGTTTAAAATTTAGATAGGAATTAAAGCACTTCAAATTCTGACAATCATTACCCTTATTTTTTTTTCAATTTAAAATTGTTTTTCCTCCACTAAAGATGTTAGGTTTCCCACTCCCTTTTCTGAATCTGTTTGTCTGTGTGTGTGTGTGTGTGCACCCATCCGTGTGTTTCTCTCTCTGCCTTTCCCTGCCTGTCTCTTTCTCCCCATCTCTGCTCCACATTTTTCTGAGGGTCTCTTTCTTTGTACTGATATATGAGTCTGATTTTGTCTTCTTACAAGTTTATATCTATCTGAATCAGTTGAATACCTTCAGCTATAACAAAAGATCATAACTTGGCCAAGCGCAGTGGCTCACACCTATAATCTCAGCACTTTGGGAGGCTGAGGCGGGCGGATCATTTGAGGTCAGGAGTTCAAGACCATCAAGACCAACATAGTGAAACCCCATCTCTACTGAAAATACAAAAATTAGCTGGGCATGGTGATGGGCTCCTGTAATCCCAACTACTCAGGATGCTGAAGCAGGAGAATCGCTTGAACCCAGGAGGCGGAGGTTGCAGTAAGCCGAGATCGTGCCACTGCACTCCAGCTAGGTGACACTCCGACTCAGGTAAAAAAAAAAAAAGATCATAACTCGAATGGCTTACACCATAAACAAATGTATTGCTCAGCCAGGCACGGTGGTTTATGCCTGTAATTCCAGCACTTTGGGAGGCCAAGGATCACAAGGTCAGGAGTTCGAGACCAGGCTGGCCAACATGGTGAAACCCTGTCTCTACTAAAAATAAAAAAAAAAATAGCTAGGCATGGTGGCTACTCCCAGCTACTTGGGAGGCTGAGGCAGGAGAATTGCTTGAACCCAGAAGGTGGAGGTTGCAGTGAGCCAAGATTGCACCATTGCACTCTAGCCTAGGCAATAGGGCAAGACTCTGTCTCAGGAAAAAGGAAAAAAAAAAAAAAAGAAAGAAAAGAAATGTATTGCTTCACATAAGAAGTCCAGGTGGAAGTCCTCCCAGGGGTGCTTGATTCAGCACCTCAACAAAGTTACTGGGTTTTTTATTCAATGAATATTCACTGAATGCCTATTTGTGCCTGGCCTTGTATTGGCCACATAGGACACGCACTCAAAAAAAGAAAAAAAAAAAATCTGTGTTCGTGGAGCTTGTAATCTGGCCTTTCCCAGCTTTGTCTCATGGTAGCAAAACAGCTGTTGCAGTTCCAGGCATTATGATAAGGTATGATAACACCTGATATTTACAGAGCATCTCTTTCTGTGTGTTTCTTTATCAGAAAGGGTAAAGCTTCCCCCCTTTGTCTCATTAGCCAAAATTTCCTCACTTATCCCTCCCTAAAACATTTCCTGGCAAGGGGAATGATATTTCTAAAACTGGCTTAGACTATTGAGGATTTACCATTTTATTGAACCTTAAAAAACCCACTAACACCAGGCCCTGCTCCCTATTGTTCTAGCATGGGGCCCAGGCCCAGATTTTTTTTTTTAAACAGAGTCTTACTCTGTTGCCCAGACTGGAGTGCAGTGGCATGATGGCATGATCATATCTCACTGCAGCTTTGAATTCCTGGCTCAAGTGATCCTCCTACCTCATCCTCCTGAGTAGCTACAACAGATTTTTGTTTGCTTGTTTTGTTTTTTTTTTTTAAGAGATGGGGTTTTACCCCATTGCCCAGACTGGTCTCTACCTCAAGCGATCTTCCTGCCTCAGCCTTCCGAAGTGTTGGAATTACAGGAATGAGCCACTGAACTCAGCCAAGACAGATTTTTTTTTTTTTTTAAACTCCCTGGGTCATTCTAATTTACAGCCCAAGTTGAAACTGTTGTGCAGGTGCTCTGCATGATATACTTTTTAGGTTTAAGAAGGTTTGAGCTTCCTTGGTAGATTTACCTAATTTCATTCCTAAAACCTGGGATAACGTATTAGAAGGCAAAGACTGTGCTCTTTTGGGACCTCTAAGTCATCCCCTTGGGTTTTCCATCAGCACTGTTTTTTAGCCTCAGTTATTAGACCAGAGTCTTCTCCCGGCCCCACCCCTCATTGGCCTTTCTCTCAGCTGGAGACCACCCAGCCCCTTTTTTTTCTTAAATTTTAAAACTGAAATAATTTTATTTGGTTTTTTTTTGGGGGGGTGGGGGGACAGATTCTTACTCTGTCATCCAGGCTGGAGCACAGTGGCATTTTCTTTCTTTTCTTTCTTTTTTTTTTTTTTTTTGAGATGGAGTCTCACTCTGTCTACTAGGCTGGAATGATCTCGGCTCACTGAAACCCCTGCCTCCCAGGTTCAACTGATTCACCTGCCTCAGACTCCCGAGTAGCTAGGATTACAGGCGCACACTGCCACACCTGGCTAACTTTTGTATTTTTAGTAGAGATGGGATTTCACCATATTGTTCAGGCTGGTCTCGAAATCCTGACCTTAGGCAATCCACCCACCTCGGCCTCCCAAAGTGCTGGTATTACAGGTGTGAGTCACCGCACCCAGGCCATTTTCTATGTCTTTAATGTGTCCTCCAAAGTTTATGTGTTGGGAACTTAATCCCTACTGCAACAATATTTTGAGATAGGACCTTTAAGAGATGATTATGTTTATGAGGGCTCTGCTTTCATGAATGAATTAATGCTATTGTCTCAGGAGTGTTTAGTTATCAAAAGAATAGGTTCCTAATAAAAGGATGAGTTCAGCTCCCTTCCACCCCTCTTCCCTCTCCCTCTCTCTCTCTCTCATGCTCCCTCTCACCTACGCAATGCCTTTTGTTCTTTTTTTATATAGACAGGGTCTCACTATATTTACCAGGTTGGTCATGAACTTCTGGGCTCAAGTGATTCTCCAACCTCAGCCTCCCAAAATTCTGAGATTACAGGCACCACCATACCCAGCCCGGCTTCTGGTATTCTTTTTTTTTTTTTTGAGACCTGTCTCACTCTGTCACCCAGGCTGGAGTGCAATGGTTCAATCTCAGCTCACTGCAACCTCCACCTCCCAGGTTTAGACAATTCTGCATCAGCCTCCCAAGTAGCTGGGATTACAGGTAGATTACAGGTGTGAGCCACCACACCTGGCCTTTTTTTTTTTTTTTTTTTTTATGAGACAGAGTCTTGCTCTGTCACCCAGGCTGGAGTGCAGTGGTGCAATCTCAACTCACTGCAACCTCTGCCTCCTGGGTTCAAGCAATTCTGCATCAGCTTCCCAAGTAGCTGGGATTACAGGCACATGCCACCATGCCCGGCTAATTTTTGTATTTTTTTAGTAGAGATGGGGTTTCACCATGTTGGCCAGGCTGGGTCTCGAACTCCTGATGTTGTGATCTGCCCGCCTTAGCCTCTCAAAATGCTGGGATTACAGGTGTGAGCTACTGCACCCAGCCTGGTGTTCTTATTCTTAGTTACCTGAAGACCTCTACTTATTGCTTGGCTGGTTCTGGCTATCAGGGTATATGAAGGGGAAGGCCCAGGGGCAGAGTAAAGGAAGTGGTTCCGTGTTAGTTAGACCCCCAGAGAAGCAGGGGAACTAACTCCTCAGAAAGTCACTTTCCCTTTCCCTTGGGCTGTCATCTCCTCCCAGCCCCCAGAACAGCCAGTTACAAATCTGGGTGTTTATCAGCAAAGTTATTGCTATTCTGGCTCCTGGAGATCTTCTGTAGGGACAGAAGAAAAAGATGAAAGGAATACACACACCACACCTACTCATGGCTTCCTAAACACAGCTCAGGGCTACACCTTGGTCCCTCCTTCCCCATTTTCCACCCCCTCCCTCAGGAGAATTCCCAGCCTGGGGCCCAAATAGTTCTGGAGCAGCATCCTGCTCTCCACCCAAGACCCAGGAACATGGTGCAGGCCAAGCTTATTTGCTTTGTGGTCATCTGTTCTCAGCTGAGGGAGGCCTGAGCAGGGCGTGGGGAGCAGCTGCAAGTCACCTTGGGTGACTGATGTTATCTGGGCCTAACGGTTTCCTCTGGGTAAGCACTTCCGCCCTCCTGTTTTCAAAGCCAGAAACCTGTGCTGGGGCAGCCCCATTCTGAGCACGAAGGAGGACTGGGTGGAGGGAGAATGGAAAAGGCCCTACAGGGCAGAGTTAGAAGACCTGATGGGTCATCACTATGTCCTGCACCTTTAAAAAGAAGAATGGAAAAAATTACAAGGAAAACTGTGCATTGCAAGTTACCAGTAAATACCCTTCCTTACCGCCGACTCTGCTCTAGAGTCCTCACCTGTGCAGCCACGTGGCTGGGCTAGGAGGGCGCTCACTGCTGATTCCTGGGACTGAGGGCTGTTTTTACTGGTCCCAGAGAGCCTGACTGTAAATAAAAGAAATATCAGGCTCTTATTCATCTGAAGCTTGTACATGGAGCTAAGCATTATAAAAACAGCCACTCTTTGCAGAGTGCCTACTATCTTGTATAGGTGAGGAAAATAAGAATCAGAGAGGTTAACTGACTTGTCTAAGAAAAAACAGCTAGAAAGTAGCAGAGCTGGAATTCAACCCTCAATCTCTCTGTTTCTAAAACCAGGGGTCTTCCTCTATACTCAGCAGAGCTAATGAACTAGAAGCCACCCTGGCACTAAGGTTGCCAGTGCTTTAGAAAGTTGGGCCTTAGAAAGTTCTAGGACAGAAAGGAGGCCATATTTCTAAGACTGGGACCCAAAGCAGCAATCTAAATGCCTGAAAGTGCACGGAAGGTGCTGGGAGAAGCAGAATCAGGGCAGCCTTTGCAGCAGGAGCAGACTCAGCCTGTTTTCTTCACTGTTTCTCCACATCTCTTTACAGTGCTCACCATCACCTGTCTTATTGCCCACCTCTGTGATGGGGCTCCCCTCCCCTGGCTGAGTTGGGGTTGGGCCCGTGAGAATGCTGTGGGGTGGCCCAAAGGCTCATACACCCAGCCAGTACCCTGCCACTCACAAGTCTCTGAAGGAATTTTCCCATTTCTCCCTGCCAAAGGGTCCAAAGGGGGCAGAGATCCGAAGGGTCACTCAGGGCCAGAGGACAGCCTATGAACTGGTAGCATGGAACGACCCTAGTGCAGACTCCAGTCCCCGCATCCCTCCCCCGCGGCCTCTTTGCTGCCCAGCCAGGATGGCCCTGAAGGAGGGTTGCTACGCTGAGCCCTATGGGAATCAGATGTTGCGCATCTTGCCCTTAACTATATTTAAAAGGAATGGAGAGGAGGCCCTTTAGCAGGCAGCTTGTGGGAGCCAAAATTCCCACAAAACCGAACGCATCCGTCAAAGCAAGGTTTGAAGAAAAGATTTACCACTTCGGGGAGCTTGAAAAACTTTACGTGGATTCCTCATTTTTCTCCTCATACACAGATGATAGATAGATAGATAGATGGATAGATAGTGGTTTCCTGGAAAGCGGAGAGGAAAAGAGGTGAGAAGGGAAAGGTGGTCCCGGTCGGCGCCACGCAGGGCTCCTCTTTTGGGAGAACACAGACGCCTTCCACCAGGGAGGGTCCTCGAACTCCACCCAGGAACTGCAGGGGAACCAGGTATGACAATAATGCGATTTTAAAAAGAAGGAGCGGAAGAAGGAAAGCAGGAAAGATGGACACTGAAGAAGGAAATCGAAAAGAGGGGAAATAAAAAGAATTAAAGGACCACTCTAATTCTTGGAGGGGAGGGGGAAAAAAAGACCCATTAAGGGACCGAAGGGTTGAGAAGGACTGAGACCGTGGCAAAGCCCAGAGTCCTGAGAAACTTCGCGAGAAAGAGGGGCCCGGCGGCTGCCCATCCCCATGTTTGGGCACACGGAGTCGTGGCTCCTGCTCTTGAGTCCTGCCCTGGGAGGGACAGTATCTGTTTAGATTTGCGTCTAAATTTAAACCCTGATCGCCGGCCTCTCTCCGCGCTCCCCACCCTCCCCTCTCCTCCCTCCCTCCTCCTCCTTCCTCGTTCTCTCGCGCAGGGCCCCCGCGGCCGGGGCAGTCCCGCAGCCGAGCGCAGCCGGGCGCGCGCCGCCGCCCACTCGCCCTGTGCCCGCCGCAGCCCAAACCTGGCCCCGGCCGGGAGCCGAGAGGACAGCGGGGATCGCGAGCTCCGGCCCGAGCGAGCGGGCGCGTCCGCAGCAGAGTCGGCACCTG